CTCAGCAGGAAACCGGTCATAACACTTCTACCATTACCACTACCACTCCCACTACCGCTGCCGCCGCCGCCGCCGGACTGACCGCTGCTGACAGAAACTGGGCCTTCATCGTTGCAGGCTGGAACCTGCCAAAATTTTGCTGGATCTCCCTAAGGGTCCAAGGACCCAAATAATAGGGTGGTAGGGCCCAAATACCATTGATATTATAGTATTTGGGCCCTAAAACCCTATTATTTGGGTCCTTGGACCCTTAGGGTCTGGCTAAGGGGAAGAAGCACGACTTACACTGTCAGACTGTGGGGCCCATTATGCACCATATCGTTCTTTGGCTGCAGCTCCCATCGTCAAGCTAACGTTCAACTAAGGATTTACCCGGAGTAAGCTGCTAATGCCCCAAAACAAGAACAAAAAGTAGCTTGACACATGAGCTATAATCTAAACCCTAGTACCCTCTTCATAACCGCTATAGTAGTCCCTCATATAATCCCTTATATAACCCCCTTCAGGGAGCTTAGATTACGGCTCACATGGTAAGACTCCTAGTCCGCCAAGGCTCGTCCCAGCAACATAGGAGACGCGTGGTGCGCGTGGCCGCACGCAGCGTACACGAATCGCGGCAAATGCGTGGGCTGACAGATCAAATCTTTAGCTGTTCCTTGATTCAAGATCAATACTTCAACACACGTAGAAACCGGATCTCAAATATCTAAGGTTCTCATCCCTTCGTAATTCGATCACAAACCGATTCCCAATTCTACTGAATGGTCCAAATCTTTGTACGACTCAGATCAACCTGATTGAGCAGGCTGAGGCGGGAATCCATGGAATTGCCATGCATGCTCGCGGTGCCGTCGCACTATGCACGCTTTTTGCTGGGCCACCAGTGTCTAGAGGGCTGAGCGTCGTCCCATCCGGCTTGCAAACTCCTGCGCTCAGTTCATTTCAGTCTATAGCTTGCATTCCCACCCTTACAACAAGTCACCTTCAACTGGGAAAAATGACTTGACAAGTTGCAGCGCAAGCCCAGCTGCAGCAGGAATGACTGTGGGAGGGTATTGGCCTGCACCTGTTTCTTAGGGGTAGCATGTCGGCAGAGCCGTCTGCAGCTTATTTTCAGGCCAACCACAACTCGGAGGAAGCCACGTCCTAACCAGGATCTAACCCCTTAAGCTCTAAGCGCCGCACCCTCTTGGCGACTTTTAGAGCCGTCATAGCCAATCCCTGGATTGGATGTGGCACGCATGCTCTGCTGCAGCATGTGTCCTCACGTCCTCAATTTATGGAAAAACACTAATTTAGGTGGCCCGCGCAGGCCCTGGCCCTTGGACTGTCAGTCTTTAAATCCCTCAACCCTAAACCCCCGACGGGAGGACCATGCTGCCTGTCGAAGCTCGGAGGGCAATGTCCTGGGGTCCAGGCAGAGACGAACCTGAATCAAGCGAGCTTGGATCGTTTCAATGCAAACAAACTTCTAGAATCGTTCGCACGGAAATCAAATCAACACATGACACACATTCAGGAGTCTCGCGCAGGCTGTGCGAGGTTTTGGATCCCACGCTGAAGTGTTCCTGGTTCCTACAGGCTCTTGGATTTGATCGTGTAAGACTGACTCGGCTTTCCCGGTGTTGCTTACCCCAACCCAAATAACAGGGTTGTAGGGCCCAAATACCATTCATATTATGGTTTGGGCCCTAAAACCCTATTATTTGGGTCCTTGGACCCTTAGGGTTACTCATCCAATGAGAGCTACCGGAGCTAGAGGGCTCTTCCAAGCTGCGTGCAGCTGCTTCTCAGATCAAAGCATGACTCCTTTTGGCGCATCTCAGAGATTGGAAGTGGTTGTTTCAAAGGGAGCCTGATGTCCTTACACCAGGGCATGAAGACCGCCACAATCATAGTGTCTTTACTGTGGTGCGGCCTAAGCACCTTATGTAGATCTGCACCCACTATGCCCCAAGCCCTACTCAGTGTCTCCCGGTACCGTACCCTTCAGCGTTTTTTGCGTTCCCACCGCTTTCCTAGCTCTTGTGTTGATGCAACTGCAGTGCTGAAAGACCTAGCAAACTACCTTCCTGTGAAGAACTTAGAGTACCCAGATAGTAACAGTAATACCAATAGTAATGCTAGTCATAGTACTAACAGGTAGAGAAGTATACGTTGTAACACCAATGTCAATACTACTAACAGTTTCCCCTCAATCATACCACTCATAATCGTGACAGTGCTAAGTGGGACCAGCTGGATTCCGTTGACCGCCCTGCCAAAATGTCAGACCCCAAACCAACAAACCCTGAGCTTCATAAGGTTCAGGGGTTTAGGGCTTAGGACCCAAGCCCCAAAGCCACGATCCTGAAACCCAAACCCGAAGCATCTTCCGTGCTGGCCTGGTCCGGCAAGGAGTTTGCCATGATCAGGGCCTGCCAAATCATGGAACACCCGTCCCTGTTTTGGGAGGCCTTCAAATAATGGAGGCCCCGAGGGACCCCAGGATATATGGGATTTCTTGTAGATTTCGTGGGTCCCAAACTCCTATTTGTGGGTTCCTCAAAATGATGCACTCGATTTCGAGGGTCCCGAGAATCAGGGCCTTAGTATCTCTAGTTTCCTTAGACCTTTATTTAAAATAATACTTTACATATTTCCTTAGGGTTTTACTATAAAAGAAATTAAAATAATTCCTAAGGACAGTACATGTATAGCATCACGGGTGTAGGAGTTGAGCAGGAGCAACTTCGTGGCATCTTTCGATGGCGGGAATTAGGATATCCCAAGTGGCATCCTATAGAGGGAAGGTACAAGTATTGCATGGATGATAATCATGATGATGATGATGATGATGACGACGACGATGATGTAAGGATTACGTTAGTGCCACATCTGGCTCGGCGTATGTAAACGTCGGCTCTGCTAACAGTAGGGTTAAATGAAGAACACTTCTGCAGGAATCTATAAGTTCTCGCCACGCGCGGCGCAGAACAACTAAAGTTAAGTAGTCAAAGAACTGGATGAATTCGTATGCCGTTCACAGGGACACATCATGGGCGTTGGAAAATGGAACCATGGTGTTGGTGTAGTTTGAGGCATATACGCCTGTATGCCAGCAGGCAGAGGGATCTCCTGCATAGCACAAGCTAGCACCTATGTGCACATGCTCTGCCAGATTACTGAAGAAAGCTGGCGACGACTTCTCGTTGGTTTGCAAAGACGCCAAAGTCAGGGGAAGCACGTCACAATGGAACTAAAGGGAACAAACCATGACAAACTCCCCACCCTCTCATCTACATATCCCTGGTAGCCTATTTGTTTGCACTTTCTCCTTCAGGCGCACTTCTTAACAATGCGAACAAGCCGAGTGCCTCATCTTCAAAGGTCGCAAGGAGGAAAAGCATGCAGCGTACCTCTTTGCGCGATGGTGATTTGCACTTGAGGCTTTTCCATCTATTCCTCAGTTCGTGAGCAGTACAACAAGCCACATCTACACTTGCCAAAACCAACCCTAAATAAGCAAAGCTCGAAACGCCGTGAATCGTAGCCCGGCATGTATCACCTTCACACCCAGACGCGACACTTGAAGTATCTCTGCTGAGAAGCACCTCGTCCGGGCTGCCTGGGCCTTGGGCATTCATGGCCTTTCCCAGCGCCTTGGCAGATTGCATCTATCGCCCCAAAACCCCTTGGAATCCTCTTGCTCTTTGCTTGATCGGACACTGAGCTCAAGAAGTACTACCTCCGGGTACAGACCTCAGAGCCAAAGGATGCCAACTGCCGCCGCTGCTGCTTTTATGACAAAGGTGTTATGTGCTTGTAAGTTGTAAGTTACTATAGTCCCCCTTAAGTAGATAGAATATGGGGTATATGGGGATCTTATTATAATATACCCAAAGCTGTATTCTATCTACTTGAGGGTCTCCCAAGCTCTTGCTTTTCTATGAGGCTGACGCAAGCCATTGCCGCCATGGTTCTGTCAGTTCCAAGCCTCTGGGGAACCTAAAGTTTGCCGGCACCATAAGCCTTTATGGACACCATTCATGACTGCGCAGCCTCAACAAACCGAAAGACATAAACGATTTTCAATGATCCCCTGACCCCAACCCAAAACCCTCAATTTTCCCTATAATTTCTAGTATACCACAACGAGAATATGTGAGGCGGGGATCAGTATTGGGGGGGCAGGATTCCCAAAACCTAAGAAGCCCAAACCTGGAGAATGGTGAAGCTCCACAAGTCCCCAATGGTAAGAATCCCACACACCAAAAAGCCCCATGTCCCACAAACCCTCAACATCCCTAACTTGCCTGTGCTGTGAGCCCGTAGCGCTCGAAGTTGGCATCGGAGAAGGCAAAAACGAAACGATCATCTGCGGGCCCAGCAGTGGACACCTGGCAAAGGATTTTATACAAGGGTTTAGGGTTTAGGGATTCTATACAATTTGCCGGCTTGGATTGCGCCCCAGGGGTGCACAGGGATCAAAAGGTAATGAGGGCCGTCTTTGCAGATGATCTCGCGGTGTTTTGGAAGAGCTCCCACCTGTCTATAAAAGCTACTTTCCGAGCCCCTTGGGACTTTTGAAGTCGAATGATCACAACAGACATTAGGCAAGGGATTGTAGCAGGAACCAAGACCTCACACAGGCTTAGCACCCTGCCTAGCCGCCTGGTAGCACGGAGACTACGCGAACACACACCGCTACCAACATCACGCAACTCATGTTGACTGGTGCTGTTCTCTTCAGCAGATCCTTTTCGAACGCCCGGTTTCGAAGTCCTCCTCAGCATCAACATTTCTGTTGTCGCCGGATACATCTCATTCCATGTCCGTCTTAAACTTAGGGTGGAGGCTCAGTCAAGTGTGCAGAAGCCACACCTCGCAACTCATTGCACTCAGCCAGAAGTTCTGGAATTTGAAGACCACGACGAAGGCGGCAGCGTTATCAACTTCATTAACGAACCCGCGACAAAGCTAAGCTCACGCTCGGCTTCTAACAAACGCAACCTGCTGGCTGTCAGAAACATGGGATATCATGTCACAGAACATCGAGCAGTCGCTGCGCTTGAAAGGTAAAGCTGTATGAGGTATTCGATGTGGCAGCTTAGACCTTAATGGTTGGGCACATGACAACCACCATGATGTGACCACATGCTATGAAGACGTCGGCATGTCGGCATTTGGCATAAGCAACCTCAAGAAGGGTGCTGCTGCAAGCGCCTTTAGTCGCCTCGTAGCTGGGAGACCATGCGGACATGAACAGCAACCAAAAAGACAAATCGTCTTGACTGGAGCTGCTCTGTCCAGCACATCCTTTTCAAACAGCTGGCTGAAAGAGTCCTCTTCAGAATCAATCTCTGTTGCTGCCGAATGAATCGAATCTGGTGTCCGTCTCGGACCTGCAGCGCAGGCTCCTCCATGCTGGCGAAAGTCATACCTCAACCAGCAGTAGTGAGAAAGCTGAGGTTACGCTAGGCTTCGAATAAACGCCATTCGCTGGCTGTCAGAACGACGGGATATCAGGTCACAGATCGTCGTGCAGTCGCCATGCTTGAAACGGAGAGTTTGTATGAGGTTTTCGTGGCAGCTTAGACCTTCATGGTTGGGCACATGACAACCACCATGATGGGACCACATGCTATGAAGAACCCTGATGTCGGCATCTGGCATAAGCAACCTGGAGAAGGGTGCTAATGCAAGCGCCTAGTCACTTCGTAGCTGGGAGGCTATTAGAACATGAAGAGCAACCAATATCACAACTCATATTGACTGGAGCTGCTCTCCTCAGCAAACACTGTTGAAACAACAGGCTTCAAAGTCCTCTTCAGCAAGCCTCCGCCGTAGGTCCGAGATGGAAATCAAATTAGATGCACCATTGATTCTGAAGAGGACTTTGAAGCCAGTCGTTTGAAAAGGATCTGCCGAGAGAGCAACGCAAGTCGGCAGATCCTTTTCAAACGACTCCCTTCAAAGTCCTCTTCGGAATCAATGGTGCATCTAATTGGATGTCCATCTCGGACCTACGGCGGAGGCTCGTCCAAGCCTGGGAGAGTTGCACGTGGCCTCGCAATGCGCTTCGGGAAGGGCTCTGGAAATTTGCGAAATTGCCGCCAAGGTCAGCAGCCGCCACATGGCTCACGGCGCTGCAGCAAAAAAATCTAAAAAAGCCGCTCTGTAATTAGCTGGGAGCCTTTTGGCAGCATTCGCACGTGCCAAGGCTTCATCCGAAATCTAAAGTTGAGTTGCTGGCTTGAGTCGCTTTTCAGGTTCCTATAAAGCAGACTCACCATCTTTTTTTAAAGGTTGGCATGTGAAGTAAGCGTTTAAATGTACATGGGCAGGGTAAGAGAACGTCCGTCATACCACCCCCAGCTGTCTGGCCTTCTCCACTGCTCTTTCGATGGCCTCCAAGGTGTTGTCCCCTGAGCTGCAGTACCTGCAAAGGATGTGGGATTTGGCTTACGAAAGAATAAAAAATGCCCGAATACGCCCTAAAAGAGGAACTCTACGGCCCTACGGGGACCCTCAATCTCACTGATAACAGGATGAATGAATATGCACCTCCCCACATGCATGCTAAATCAGAAACAACCTACAAATCAGGTCGAAAACGCGGAGAAGTAGAGGCACGATGTTTCTGACTGATGCTCTTTCAACGACCTGACACCCCTTTGAAGCACTCTGCGCCATACCCCAGTACTAATATGACTTCAAGACATGGCAGCATCCTGCATTACTCCTTTCACGCATGCGAATGCTGTCAGACTAGGTACCTGTACGCACTGTCAAGAAGCATGTAGACTTGGCTTCCGCAACTGCAAGTAAAGGCTCAAACCTATGCAAGATGCATCTTCCACAAGTAGCACGGCAGCGGCATTGTGGAAAGAGAAAGACGGAGCAATTGATGCCAGTAGCCTTACATGCAGCTGCGTTGCTGGGCGGCAGCAACAAGCTTCGACACCTTAATTCTTCACTCTGGGAGGGCTCATCAGGGGAGTGCATCCCAAGATGTTGATGCTCATCTATTCCTCCTTATTACCCTGGTGACAACCCCAAGTCAGCATAAGTACCTATATGCTGCGTTGTATGCCGCAAGCTTCTTCAAGTTCTCTTCCGATACATGCGAAGCTACACACATGAACTGACGGGGGCAGGGCGCTCACAGAAGAGCATGCTACATCACTGCACTATAGTATATTGGGGTCATATAGGCATAGCGGAAGGAAAAGAACATGAAAACCACTGTAGTGCATGGGGGTAATTGGAAAAGAACATGGACACCACTATAGTATATCCAGTATCATCTGAGGCGGTTTAGGGTTTAGGGCTATAAGGATTTTTGGTCTAGAGTTTCGAGTCAAGAGTTTAGGGCTTAAGGTTTGAGCTACTCTCTAGTAGAATTATACAATTAGACAAGGAAGCTAGGACCATGATATTGGTCATGATCTAGGCCCCTACATAAATCACGCGGAGACCGCGGCGCGCTGCTAAGAACTTCCTCGTGCCGTGGACGGTATGTGCTCATGTCCGAAAAATAAAGGTTTCCAAATACTCAGTGTACCCAAAAGATACCCTCTTAAAAGAGGGATATAAGGGATATATGGGGTTATATAAGGTTTAGGGTTCCCAAAATTAGGGATCCTTTATGAAGGTCCGAATAACAAGGCCCGTAATATTTGGGGCTCGAGATTGGGCATGACTGTTACGATATCAGCTACCCCCTTCTTGTTGGAAATCACGCGCCCCGCCAACCTTCATTCCAAGCAATGTAGGCTATTAGCAATATGAGCCACTGTCTAAACTCCTAGTATTTCCCTTAATAACCCCTATAGTAGTCCCCTATATAATCCCCTATATAACCCCCCTTTAAGGAGTTTAGACTATAGCTCATATTAGCAAGAGAGTCAGCTCCATGATGGTAACAGGTCTTGTTCGTTTCGTGACACTGAGAGCTGCCGACCAAATTCACTTTTGTCAGTCCTAGCGGAGACCTTCCAACACTGTGCTGGATCGGACTAAGGGGAAGAAACACGACTTACACTGTCAGACTGTGGGGCCCATGATGCACAATATCGATCTTTGGCTACAGCTCCCATCGTAACTAAGCGGAGGACCACAGTCAGACGTGCTCGCTCATCAGCAGGTGGTTGGCCAAAGGGTACGAGCTCCTCGCGCAGTTTGTGGCAAAAACGTTGTCAATGGTAGTTGCCAAACCAATATTTGCAATTTTCGTGAAAGCAATAATAACAATTAAAGGACCGGAGAACCCCACAGCGTAGTTTAACCTGAATCTACGTGAGAAAATACCAGGATGCCGTCGCCCGCCGAAACAAGAAGACGCATAAAAAGAGATATAAGCAGACGAAACGGGGATCTGCGACGAAGCCATGAGCATGTTGCGCGAGTGCGAAAGAAAAATATGTATAGATTTTTCACGTGTACATATTGGTGGTGATGTGGTGATGGTGGTGATGGTGGTGATGGTGGTAATGGTGGTGATGGTGGCGATAGTGGTGGTGGTGATGATGGTGGTGGTGTTGGTGGTGGTGCTGATGGTGGTGATGGTGGCGATGGTGGTGATGTGGTGATGGTGGTGATGGTGGTGATGGTGGTGATGGTGGTAATGGTGGTAATGCTGGTGATGGTGGTGATGGCAGTGGAGGTGGTAGTGCTGGTAGGAGTTTTGGGCGTCACGGTGCGCTCTCTCATGATGTTTGAGGAGTTTTGGGCGTCACGGTGCGCTCTCTCATGATGTTTGGGGAGTTTTGGGC